ATGGGTTTTATGCCTGACTTAGTTTTCTGTCAAAAAGGTTTCACAAATACAAGGCCAGATTGTGATGGGCAATCAACTTAAGGATTGTTCCAATGGATTATGGAAGAAGAATTTGAAGGAGAAACCAAACAAGGGCCATGAAAGGTCATAAACATTCAAGATGTCAAGCAAGTGTAAACTGTCCAGGAAATTTTGGATTTATATCATTCTTTTTTGAGTACTAATATGCTGATGACCAAAAGTTACAATTGTATGCTTTTTTTAACCAGTTGATGCTTGTTTGGAGCATGACAGTATTGCATTCTCATTAAATCAAATGGTAATTTGGTAGATGGCTTGCAAAGAGTTTCAACAGATTCCAGTATTTTTAAAAATATACATCTACTTCACTCTGTAATTTTGAGGGAGTGAGAAGACAAAGATTCTTACATCTGTGATGATGCAATCTGAACAAGAAATGCCAAAGATACATGAAACATCACCGAAATTGATTTGGCAATTCAGTCTTAACAACAATGCCAAGGATACATGAAACAGACATCGTAGCAACTAATTTGGCAATTCAGTCTTAACAACAATGCCAAGGATACATGAAACAGACATCATAGCAACTAATTTGGCAATTCAGTCTTAACAACAATGCCAAGGATACATGAAACAGACATCATAGCAACTAATTTGGCAATTCAGTCTTAACAACAATGCCAAGGATACATGAAATTCAGGTCAAAAAGGACTGATTTGGCAATTTGAACAAAAATGTCAAGGCCAAATAAAAAAGAGGTCATTGTAACCAATCTGAATAACAGCAAGTACAAATGAAACACTTCATATCAATGCAACATAAAACACAGGACACAGAGGCTTAATTTTAGGTCATATGGTGCACACACCACACACTAAGAAGCTTTAGGGAATAGTGACAGATGTTTTGGTCATCCACAGCATTCTTTTGTCTGCAGTTCAAGTCTGATCTAAGCATACCAATACTTAAGTACATGATATTTTTATTTACAAATTCATGTAGTTCATTTCATTACATTACAGACTTGAGAACATTCATCAACATTTAGCATTAGGAGTACATGTACTATGTGCTAGCATTAAGCAAAACAGTGTCAATATACCTGTACAGGGTATATACAGTAACTGTTGTCTTGTTTTATGAGTATTATGTTCTTAAAATAATTAACAGAAAAGAGTGAAGACAACAAGCTTTGTAAATTTATCAAATAAATTATTTCCCAAGAATAGAAAGTGAAAAATGAGAAAAAATAACTTATGGCATTGTGAATTAAATCCCCCAAAAAATCCAAGAATTAAAGACACAAGTCCTAGTAATGAAAAAAGTCCTGAATAAAACTCGGATCAAGTCCCAAAGAGATCCAAAATTGAAGGTGATGATGTGTCTGTTATAGCCTATGAAATACTGATGTGTCAAGTCTCTTTTTCAGAATTACAAGAATATTATTTCAGGTCTGATTTCAAAATAAATTCCAGTGAATGTCTTTATTCAAGAATTTTATCAAGAGTACTTTTCTATTTCCAAAGAAAATCATTACTTGTATTTAACAATTTGAAGAAAATAAAATTGAGCCCAAGCTGGTCACAACATAATACAACCTAAAATGCTAAATGTTAAAGCACAACTAGTAAAATCCTCTCAGTCTCAAGATAATATAACATTTTCTACAAACAACTATTTCCTAAAAGAAAAGAACCTTCTAGAATGATCTAATGAATCCTGGTTATTTGCAACAGAATAGCCTATTGAATTCAATTAGGAATCTCCAAAACCTCAACCATGACAACATATTTACTCCTTCTTTGTTTTCCTGAATAACAATTCCGTTAATAAACTCATACACATAGAGAAAAATGCAGCTATTATTAGTTGTTTACATATATGAAATAAAAAAAAAGTGAATCAGGTCAAGCAGAAATGAGCTCAGTTTTGGACAAGGTCTAGTCCAGCAAATTATGTTACATTAACATAACTGTGTAATGAAATAAAAAATTTAAAACAAACAATTAAATTAAATACACATAACACTTGCATACACACTGACTACACTAATACTACTGTTGTGTAATACTGTAATACTGTTGCCCTGTATGGGGTACATGCATACTAATACCATTGCCCTGGGGTACATGCATACTAATACTGTTGCCCTGTATGGGGTACATGCATACTAATACTGTTGCCCTGTATGGGGTACATGCATACTAATACTGTTGCCCTGTATAGGGTACATACACACTAATACTGTTGTCCTATATAGGATCCATGCATATTAATGTTGATGCCCTATATGTTATATAATGAATACTAATATTGTTGCCCTGTATGGGTTTGATACAAACTACATTACTAATAATGTTGCCCAGTGCTGGTTGCATACTGATTAATATGGTTGCCCTGTATGGGGTATATGCACACTAATACTGTTGCCATGTACAGGGTATATACACACTAACAAAAACTGTTGCCCTGTACAATGTACACACTAATACTTTCGCCTGGATGGGATACATGCATATTAATGTTTCTGCTCTGTGTGGGATACATGAACATATAAAATTGTGCAGCTAGAAATTAGTTGTAGAAATTTCTGTCAATTTAATGACTCTATCTGTTGATATGTTTCAGTCTGTTGGCTTCCTTTTGACAAATAATTAATGTATTTGGATTTAAAAAGCCCTTTGTAATGCTTCTTTACCTGAATGATATAAATCTATGCTTAAACTATTTAATCAAAGAACTAATGAACTGAAAAATTTTTATGCATATACTGACTGGAATTTTAGCCAAAGAAAGCAGACTGTCTAAAAGATGTTCAAAGCAGATGAAGCAGAAACTCTTACCACTTCAACACCGACTCTCTTATTATGTTCAAAGCTGACAATCTTACTGTATTCATGACAGGATGTTTCTACTACCTAAGCATATATTATCTCCCAGTAATTATTTAATTAGTTTCTCCTTTGTTCTTGTGTTCATGTATGAATCAATTATAAACAATATTCAATGATGTACATGTATTTACCTTATGTAAATTGTAAGTTTTATGTGAAATATCTGTGGGATATCAACCTACAAATTATCAAAAGTATTTCTTTTCTGTTAAAAATACTGATATATATATATATATATATATATATATATATATATATATATATATATATATATATATATATATGGAATATCATTTGCACCATACTGCTTCATGGGAGAGTAGCTAATATTTAGCAAAATGAGCTGTATCTTCTACATATAAATTATTATTATTATTATTATTATTATTATTATTATTATTATTATTATTATTATTATTAAAAAGTTTTGGCTGGTATGTCTTATTCCATATATTCTTAATATACATCAATTAATGTTTTTCCATGTATCACCAATCTAGATACAACCCTATTAAGCTAAGGCTTTTGCTAAGGTATGGTAAAGTTTTGAAACAACCCTAAGTTTTCTTTCAGTATCTCTTGCATGCATCATCTAAAAAGCTTGTACAACATAAGAAAACACTCTCAGAATACTGGCATGTATGCTAAGCCCTGGAAAATGAATTAATTGGACATCCTGGCAACTAAGCACATCTGATAATGAGACAATGCCAAAAGATCTACCAGATAAATCTATCCCACTCTGCAAACTGCTTTTCTATGTATATTTGGATCGGAAAATAATTGCCACTGTGAACTGGTGATTTGATCACAATTGATACATGTGCAGCCAATTTCACGGAAAAATTTGCATGGAAATCTAATAATGGATTAAATACTTCCAAGAATTGAAGCAAACAATTCAGTAAGGACACTTTAAAATTCTGCACCTAAAGATAGAAGTGTGGGTGAGGAAAGGGTCATTGGGGAAAGGGTTTTAGGTTCACAAAAAAGGGAGGGTGGAGTTTACACATGAGTTCACCAATCTGTAAGGTGTACCGATACCTATGGAAAGTTGAACATGAAATAACTGTTAGTTAATTATGTAATAAGACAAGACAGAATAGTTAAAAGAGAGCCCTAGTCTCACATGATTTTGACTTTATGCCAGGTTTAGGCTTAACAGTAAAATAATGTGTCTTCAAATTTTCTCATTATAATGTTTATATGAAAGGTTATTCCCCAGGCAAACTGACCAAACGGTCTTCTGTACTGCCTTGCTTTCTAAATTGGAGTCATGAAACTAACAGATTTTTCAGTAGAGAACTTAACAAGAAATCTGAAGAAAGAAATGTGTCTCAAAGGGAAATTGGACTTAGGAATGCATTACTTCTGCTTCAAAGAAAACATGGATGTATGAGAAAGATCCACACTGAGAGTAAATAAACATACCGGTTATGTATGCATTAGGCAAACTTTTTTCTACCATAATCTTCACTAACTTCACAAAATGGCAGAAAAACTCATCATACATTTGCAATTAGATACACCATAAAAAACTGTAATCTCTAACCATTGGAAACACCATTAAAAATTATATTCTCTGCACTGAAATATGAATAGTTTTAGAAAACCACAAATCCAAAATAATGTTCCCAGTAAGAAATCAACTTTGTCCATACTAATTGCAATGTATGTTTCATATTTAGCTAGAATAATAATAAGGACCTAAATTTCAGTCAGTCACAAATGATCATTGTTGAACACCATTGCCAAAATTACTTTTTTTTTTATGAAATCACTGATTGACTCTTCCACTATTCTTTGAGATAAACTCCCTCTAAATAGAAGGATGTAGATTTTTCATTTTTTGATTTTTAATGTAGCTTTGACAATTTTTCAGTCATATCCCTACATAGTCTGCAAAGTGGCAGTTTACAGTGATGTCTAGCACTAGGATATCATGCTGCAGACATGTAACATTAAAAAAACCCAGTCCATTATCCTGATACCAGTCCAACCAGTCCTAACAGAAACCTCTTAATGCTAAGCACTTAGCAAGGCAGCATCTACATTAGTACCATTTATATAAGTCTTTATTATGACTCAGCCAGGGTTCAAACCTGTGACCTCCTGCATCAGAGGCAGACATTCTAACCACTTAAGCCACTGGAGTACTTTTATTTAATTTATTGAATTACATGCACTCCAGTCCATGTTTTTTTTTATTTAAAAATACCACATACAGTGGAAGGTTGTCACACTTATTTAAGCATGCATAGTTACACATTTTGTATTTTAAAAAAATTTCCTGGCCTCCTGGGCTAAATTGTATATTACAACAAAGCTACTGACATAAAACAGAGTTGCTTATCATCATTGGTATTATTATTATCATTGTTGTTATTGTTGTTAATAATAATAATAATAATAATAATAATAATAATAATAATAATAATAATAATAATAATAATAATATTATTATTATTATTATTATTTTTTATTATTATTACCATTCATACTTGCTAATAAGTCAGCTCCAACTGCAAATAACATAAAAGCTATAAGAATCTGCACAGACTCTAATATGTTTGCAAAAAATTTGACAGCAGATCTTGGCCTATGTACCTTAATGTGACTTACAAGTGAATTTACATGGTCATTATTATTCTTCTTCTTCTTCTTCTTCTTCTTCTTCTTCTTCTTCTTCTTCTTATTATTATTATTATTATTATTATTATTATTATTATTATTATTATTGTTGTTGTTGCTGCTGCTGCTGTGAAATGGATCTGAACATTATGATGTACATGAAAAAAAGCATGCTAAACACATACCAAATTGTGAACAGGGTAAACCTAGATATGACTCTAGCTAATGTGGTGGCAGATCGTGGTCTGTATTCTGTATTTACATATAAGTTACTGAAGGACATCGGCTACTGCCATCAATGATTTAAAAAAAAAAGTTTGAACAACATCCTCATGTAGCTTCCTACCTTCCCACACAAAAGGGGAATCTATTCAGAAACAACTGTTGCAATCCACAAAACATCGCATCAATTTTTATGAGACAAAAATAAGAGGGTGCTTGTACAATTACCTTATGGCAATTTTGTTAAGAGGGATATTTGGACAATAATCTATGATACAAAAGTCAACCACTTAACAAAAGGTTTCCTAGTCATTTCAATTATGGATCAGGCAATCTGAGAGACATCATATACCAACAAAATAAAAGCTTCAAATTTCTAATTGATAAACAGAAAACCATGGAAATTAGTTAATACCTGAAGACATTCAATTTATTTCATGCAGATCTGAGAGACATCATATACCAACAAAATAAAAGCTTCAAATTTCTAATTGATAAACAGAAAACCATGGAAATTAGTTAATACCTGAAGACATTCAATTTATTTCATGCAGATTTGTATTTTTAAATAGATGTATATGGTTGTTACAGAATCAGGCAACAGCTGTCATAGATTCAGGCAATACACTATAGTTGTCACAGAACAAGGCCTGAGTTGTCATAGAATCTGGCAAGATTTGTCACAAAATTAGGTAATAGTTGTCAGAATCAGGCAATAGCTGTCATTGAATAAGGAAAAAGATGTCATAGAATCAGGCACAGCTGTCAGAATCAGGCACAAGTCATCAGAATTATGTGTGATGTGATTGTGATTTTTAACTTAATTTTTCAGTCATATGGTTATGATGTCTGCAGTGTGGCAGTTTATAGTGATGTCTAGCACTGGGGCATCATGCCGCAGACATGTAGCATGATGTCCCACCCAGTCACATTAACTTGACACCAGGCCAACCAGTCCTAACACTAACCTCTTAGTCCTAACACTAACCTCTTAATGCTGAGCATCAAGCGAGGCAGCTGTTAGTACCATTTTTGTAAGTCTTTGGTATGGCTCCACCGGGTCATCAGAATCTGGCAATAATTCCCAAGAATCAGGATAAAGTTTTGATAGAACCAGGCAATAACTAACAGTATCAATCAGATTATAATTTGTGTCATAACATTTTTTAAAAACAATAAAATTATCAGTAAGAAAATTACACTACTTAGAAATAAATAAAAGAGGAAATAAATCCCATTTTGGCAAATATTGCTGACTTTGATTGGCAATCTTTATCTACAAGTAAAATGCCATAGAACAGGAGCAGCTAGCCTGTTTATTTTTTTGAATAATTATTTGTATCAAGGAGAAGACTTTCGTTTCCTTCATATGTTAAGAAATGAAATCTGTTTTGTACATCATTTAATATCTGATCTGCCAATTGCCAGGTATATTTACTGATTGGTTCTAACAAACTGCAGACCCACATCTGTCAGCACATTATAACAACAACACATCTGGGTCAGTGCAGTTTGGAGCTGGACTCAACTTACAAGAGAGTAAATATGGTAGCTACCCATAAGGAAGATAACTCCCAATTTAGATAGGTCACAATGTGGAAGAGTCATCAATCAAAGTTTGGAAGATTAAGACAAAATGTAATTGCCTTTGGAGGATAAAATTTCTCTGTCCATCATGGAGGCCATGATAATGTATGGCATTTACTACCTTAAATACCACCAAAGTCTGACAGATGCCTTAAGCAATAATGACCACTGTATTTACTGATAACATTTTCTTATTAGCTACAGTAAGTAACACAGTTAAGCACAGAGGACAATAATTGTTTTAAACCATTTCAGCAAGCCACACCAAGAAGCCATTATGCTTATTTACCTCATTAATATAGTTTAAATGTCTAGATGAATACCATCTGAATGATGAAAGTACATGTATCTGGCATACCTTTATCTAAGATATATAGATATAATCAAATAAACATCATGGACATTAATCTATTTTCATTCTTCTCCATGTTACTAAATTAGAACTGCCTGCAACTGAATTGAAACATACAAATGAACAATGATCCCTCATTATAAAATCCCTTGTTACCTTGTTATACTGTTGCTCTTGTTATAATGTTGGTATGATCAGGGATCCAATCAAATTGGCCAATTTTGTTGACCCTGAATTTATTTAATTTTATTTTGGTACTTGCCTCTTAACTAAGAATCAATTATAATATAAATTTATATATTTAAATGCCCCATTTTTAATGCAGGAAGGGGTAGGGGTAGGGGTGGGACATTGGGTAACTGAGTGCCTTAGGTGCTTGCCTATGTGGATCACTGAAATCTGTTTGAGTGTTAGCTTGGCCAGGTAGGTATTTGAGAATTCTGAAGGTAGCTTCTCATAAGTTAATGTTTTTTTTCCCACAGGGCCTGATCATCTTCTTTGTACACCAAATGTGCTGGCTGCCATGCCTAGGTTCTATAGTTCTGAAATCCCACATAAAACACACAAACACACAAACCAAACCAAGTTTATGTAAAAAAAAGATGTCTATTTTTTATTAGTTAATGCTTTTTAAATTTAACATCCAATTAAAGTCATGGACATTGATGTTCATCCTTTACCTGCTGAATGCTACCTGGAAGATGGCCATCCAGCTAATTATGTAACCCTTATTACATTTAGGTATTATTATTATTATTATTATTATTATTATTATTATTATTATTATTATTATTATTATTATTATTATTATTGTTAAATAAAGTAACCATATTTACTAACATAAAAGTAGAGTCAAACAGCAAGCAACAAAGATCTTGATCTGCTGTAGCATAATGGATTTGTCGATATTGACTCTTATTATATGCTCATTGTTTTTCTCCATTAACTTTACCTTGTCAGAATCATTCAATATTCCCTGAAATTGAACACCTTCATACTGCACCCTGGTGCAAAGGAACTATTTTCTAAGGTAAACAATAACCTAAAGCAGATATTTCATGGATGGCCAAATACCAGCAAATGTTTCATAGACTGACACATACAAACTGCTTTGGCACATTTTGTTTATTTTTTTTATACAATGTTTCAGATTTAGCTAGATATAGACGCTATACAGGATCCCCATAATAACACACAAGTTATAAACATAAACTGTCTTCTTTGGCTGGTAATAAAAATGGCAAAAAATATACTTACAAATTTTACATCCTGAATTTCCTCAAAAAATATACTTTCGTACCTCTGTAAATCTGAATTAGATGAGCCATGTCATGGGTTCTCAAGGTTGATTACATATTTTGAAATTGTATTGTAGTTTCGAGTATATTCCAAGTGCAGTTACATCCTCCTTACTGCACTCAAAATGAAATAAACATTAAATTTCACAGCATCTTTTTGATAATTGCAATGGAAAGGCTTCATAATTTTTCCAAATGATGATCTGAATCATTCAATGACAGAAAAGAAACACACATGACAATGTCAACACACTTCAAAACATTAAATTGGCAGATGCCACTGGAATCCATGCAAGTCACTTCATGTAGATAAATCCAGACCATAATCAAAAGACTTTGTTGAATGGACAAAAATACCAAAATGTATTCATTCCAGATCAAATGGAAAAGTTGTTGCAATGCTTACTCATTAACAATATATTACTCCAAATTTCAATTTTAAGTAGAGCAAACGCCATTTTCTTTTGAAACTTACATCTAGCATGCGACCAACTTCATATTTATCTGGGCGGAGTTATGCGCTCATTAATAATGTTGTGTAATTGTCCATCAATGCTTATGTATTAATTTGGAATATGACATACATTTAGTTACTTGTTTCTTGTAGTGTATTCTTGTTTATATATTTAAGCCTTGGGAAGAATAAGAAATCAGCATATAATAAAAAGGTTAGTGTATTTGTATCTGAAAATATGAACTCCTTTTGTCGGAAGGATATACAGCACTCCCAAAATCATGCAGTATATCCATATGAAAAACTCCATCATATTTTCCATACAAATGCAGTACCCTATAAATCCTGCTTGTTTTGCTGAGTACGCCTAACAAACTGCATAGACCCAGATCTACTGGCTTTGTTTGTGTCAGTTGATCAAGGTCTGTGCAGTTTGCAGTTGTACTCATCTTTAAATGATTATATATGGCATTATTATTATCATCATTATTATTGTTATTATTGTTATTGTTGCTATTATCATTGTCATTTTTTTAAAAAATATTTTTATTGTTTTTTATTTTTATATTATTGTTATTATTATTATTATTATTATTATTATTATTATTATTA